AGCACAAAATATGTATCATTAAGAAATGTTTTGGAGAACAGTATTACTTGGATTATAGAAAATGCGTAGTAAAATTTAAAATCGAACTGGATATTTATTTTCTGACTGACCAGTCATATCAAGAATCACACATTTCATTGGGGCTCTACCATTTGATGCTAGCCAGTCTTCCTCTTCCCTAATCCATCTCAATATCCTGTATATATAAGAAAATGGAATTTAAATATATTTCACCAGAATGTTATGATTTTGATTTAACTTCTGCAGATTTCAAAATTTCAATCACTTAAAATCTTGCATACAACTTCCTAAATGGAAATCCACTAGCTTGGCTATGTCAATAAAGTAGGAAAAATGTGAACTGCTGCTTAAGAGTTCATTCATAATAAACAAGGAAAAATGTTGACATTTCTAAAATTGACCTTTCTTGCAGGTAAGTAGAATTCGCAAAGTAAATTGGCGCCTCAACAGCAAGTATAAGGAAAGATGGAACTCTAGAAGCTTCTTTGTATCTGCTAAGATTTTGGTATATTTGAGTCCCTGGAATATTTCCCAAAGCAGCCGTATTTGGCCTCGTGACATGCAATAGGATCTTGAAAACCGATATTCCAACCTAAAAAATTTCATAAAAAGAAAATATAAATTGATGAAGCCTTTCAAAAAAAAAAAATAATAATTATCACAAAGACGACAAAAACAATTGTGATAATTATTAAAACTACCCTGAAGATTGGAGGAATTGATAAAAAGACCAAGTAAATTTCAAAAATTACAAAAACCACTCCTAAAGTTTGATTTTATCGTACATTCTAAATATGGTTGGGTGTAATTTTTGTAATTATGCAAAATTCTTACACGGATTCCAGATAAAGAAACACTTACTGCTATAGCAAGGCCAAGGGGCACAGAGATAAAGAGGACACCAAAAAAGGAGCACAAACAAGCCACAAAATCGAGCTTATCAACTTTCCACAGCTTATACGCTGCTTCATAGTCAATTAGGCCGATCACAGCTGTTATTATAATAGCAGCAAGGATCAAATTCGGAGTGTAATGAAAAAGTGGCATGAGAAATAACAAAGTCACAAGAATAGCCGCCGCCATTATTATATTGGACACGACAGTTTGTGCCCCGGCATTGTAGTTCACAGCAGATCGCGAAAATGATCCTGAAAGATATTTAGCATTTGTCAAGAGGCAAATGAGAAATCAGGCAAAAAAATAGAGTGAACTGGAAAAATAGATTACTTAAACAAAATACCTCTGAAATTTGGGTAATTACAAATCAAACCCAGAGTAAAGATTTAAAATTTACAAACATGGCCCAGAAAAATTTTCAAAAAATACAAAGGCTCCTTGAATTTTTTTTATGAATGTAAGGTGCTTCAAATGTTTCTCGCTTATGAAAGGAAAACCTTATAAACTAGAATCAAATATCTAGGTTTCCTTTTTTTAATTTTAAAAGCTTGTATGAGTTTTCTGTAAATACACCAAATCTCAGGGCTATTTCCGTAATAACAACAATCCCATAATCACAATTACATCCTTGGTGAGTTTGTTGAGATGCTACATTGCATTTCAATTAGAGTTATTCCCTGGGTAACTAAAAATCTGAAAGATCACTACAATTTTCGAAAGATAAGTGGATCTATTTGTAGTTGAATCGAACTTGAGGGTGCTTACGTAACTTGACGAACAAGTTTTACCTGTCGTAACGTAACATGAAGAACAAGAGCCAGCCATGTTCATAAGGCCAATGGCCATCATTTCCTTGTTTCCATCAACTTGGTAATTTTTTAGGGATGCAAATGTCCTCCCAACAGCAATTCCTTCCTAAGGAAAAGAAAAAAAGATAGTATTATTAATGTAACATTCTTATTTTCTTTAGTACACTTTCAGAGGTACTTCTTAATTCTATAAGATTGTCCGGATCTTCTGTATTAGCTAAACTTACAAGGTAATTTTTGTATGAATCATGTGAGTTGAGAAAATTTGATGATGAGAAAAAAAAATAATAATAACCATGTAAAAATCTCATTAAGAGTTTACCGTGAGAGAAAGCATTCCAGTTAGAATCCCGGTTTTGATCGCTAGACCCAAATGGGGCCCACTAAAATACAACATGTTTGTAGATGGTGGATTTAGACCCTTAGGCAAGTGCCCAATCTGTTGAGATAAATCTCTTCAATCAGCCACAGTTTAATTTAAATTAAAAATAAATTGCACGTTAAACAAATTCATTATAGAAACTTTATTGTTCTTACAGTTTGTATCATGTGTAGTTTGGATTTAAAGCAGACGACTAAAATGGTGGAAAGGACAACTGATGCTAAGGGAGCAGCTGCTGAAATCCAGAACAATTTTGGCTTTCGAATACTCTGCATTAGTTTAAAAATTTAAATTGCATAACGTGACAAATAAACCATTGGGTAATATGTTGGGGTTAAGGAAAAACGACCATGAAACGAACACTTACAATTTGCCTAGTCATCAGTAACAATATTAAGAAGATAACTCCAATCACAATTGTCTGCCAAGACCACTGCACATGTGAAATAGAAATCAAAGAAAAAAATAGTTAGATTAATATCATAGAATATAAGTAAATTAATGGCACAGATTTTGACCAAAAATCAGAACATTAGTGTTATTTGGCATATCTAAGTACAAATCATCATCATCTAGAATAAGATGATTTGTAGGCATTACAATGTGATAAAAGTTATAAATTCCAAATCAACTATTTCCTTTTGTTTTAAAAAGAAGCAACAGATTTATGACTTTTTACCTCGTTTTCATGGCGAAAGACTGAAGATAACACCGGAATTAATTGCATCTTGCCAGTGAAATGAGTTATCCCAAATAGCCCTTTTAGCTGTTGCAAAGCAACAATAACTGCTGCACCAGCCATGAAGCCAATCAAAGTTGCCTTTGACAAAAAGTCAATAATGAATCCTAATCTGTGGATTACAAGGTCAAACCTCAATGCACATTAACAAGAAATTTTGGAATTGAAAATAAATACGCTTTATCTTTATCGTATTTTCGGTAATAAGCATTCCATGTATTATAGCAGCGATTCTATAGTTAAAGCGAAAGCATAAAGTAGTTGAAAATCATAAAGTTACCACATTCGAAAATTGTGGGAAAAAAGTCGAAAAGAAAATGTTGAGATATGTTGTAGAGATGCTTTATTTGATTGCAAAATTCCAAAATCAGAATTTGATAGAGCTATATGGAAAAGAACAACAAAGTTTCACATTAGAAAGCAATAACAAAATTATAGCAATAAAATAAAACAAGGAGGCAGTGGGAGTAACACATTTTCTTTTTGGTTGCCTTTTCTTGAATAGTTAATGCAGATTATACCTGAGAAATCCTAAAGAAGCCTGAAATACTCCAGCGAAAAATGTGGCTGTAAAAGCGAGTTTAAGGTAAAGAACAGGTTCATTTGTGTATGAAACAGTCTCACTAAGCATAGTGCCCATCACAAGTGAAGCTATGGACACGGGACCCACGGCCAGATGTCTCGAACTCCCGAGAAGGGAATATATCAAAGGCGGTACAAAACTCGAGTCTGC